TGTGGGTGGGATAGAGGACAGGGGTTGGGAGTAAAGCGCTGTAAGGGACCGTGCATATGGTGTTAGTGGTTAGTGATTTCTCAGACGAGGTGTTTGTGGGCAGCATTGGATGGGTAGGGGTCCTTTCCCCCTTGTGCTGTCTTTCTTACTTGATGATTCAGAGCTGAAGAATTTTCTGTGTTGATAAAGTAATCAGGTATTGATGTCAGCTGTTTAAATTCAATTCAGTAACCATGGGGATATGAGTACCAGGCTCCTGACTGCCTTGGGGGGCTGACAGCTCAGTGGCATCAGATCACTTGGAGGGGTTTTTGCCTTTGCCTCGGAAGCCGGTCACGTTCACCACTTTGGGGAGCAAGGGCAGAGTGTTCTAGGGACGGAGGCAGTTCTGTCCTTCCTTTTTTGTCTCCTATCGACCAGGTAGGAGAAGAAATGATTACTCCTCAGGGTAAATGACCTTAAGCCCCAAGGGGCTTTCCACTCTACACATGGGGATCCTGTTAGGTCATCCAGGAGCTCTTGTGCTGCTGGACTTCTGAACGCTCAGGAGTGTAGGCTTTGTGGAATGGGTTGGTTCATTTACATTCTAATAGGGAATTTGACTGGTTTAACAAGGCCCCTCTGTCTTAGCAGATGGCCTGCTTAGGCAGCTGGGCACTACAGTGGTGTTCGAACTTCAGTCTGCTGCAGAATCACGCCTTGTTAAGACAGATCACTGGACTCAACGGCCAGCCTATAAAACGGGTTCAGTAGGTCCATACAGGGTCAGAATTTGCATTTTTGAACAGATGTCCAACTGATGGATGGCACTTTGGGAAACACTGACCTACGGTGGCGCTTGCAAACCAGCCTGTGGCTCGATCTAACCTGCTGCCTCTGTAAACACAGTTTTGCTGCAACACGTGTTTGTCCCTTTCTGCATTGTATACGGTTGCTCTTGTGCTTCAGCAGAGTTTAGTGGTGTGGCCTCTAAAGCCAAAAGCATTTACAACCTTGACAGTGTGCTGCCCTCTAGTGTAAAGAGAAGTCTGAGGCTGTCGAGCCTCACACTGGGGCAAGAGTGGTCAGCATGGTTCGAATGGTCTGCGAGGTGTCGGCATGAATGAGGCCAGAGAGAGTTTTAGAAGAAACCTTGCTAGGTATGGGAATCAGAGTGAGGCCCTGGGTAGCGGGTGTGTAAGATGATGGAGCTGAGAAGCCATCATGAAGGAAGACGTGCGGGTAGAGGTGAAATAGAAGGTTCACCATGACCTGCATGAAGGGAAGTCAAAACATTACTCCTGGCAGTTCCAACAGCTGGGGTTTAGTCCAAACAGTGTGTTTAAACAAGTCTCTGCAGGCAGTGGTTGGCTGCAGACAAGTTCTCAGTGACACACTGTCTTGGTCTCAGCTGCCGTCACAAAGGCCCAATCAAAGTGGTGACTGCCTGCCCAAGAGAGCTGCATTGGAATTCAAGGCGGGGAGTCAGCTCCGGAGGAGGTAAGACTGTCGTGGGGGACTCCCAAGGAGTAATCAACAGCTT